CCGCACTCGGAGGATGACAGCAGCGAGGAGGAGCACTCGCACGGTGAGCCCGGTGGCCTAGGGTTAAAGGCGCGCTGGTCCGGGGAGGGGACACGGAGGGTGGGGAAGGGGAGAGGTGCAAACCACAGATGGTTTCCGCCGCTCCTGAATTTCAGCCTTTGCTTTCTCATGCTTGGGGCTGCCGGCACAGGGAATCAACAGCCTGGGCCGCTGGCCACCTACCTCCCCTTTGCCCTCAGTCCCCGAGGGAGCTTAGGGCGCCTCACTTGGAGGTATTGGACCACCTTGCAGAGGACTGAGGCCTGATTGGATCAGGGGCTGGAAAGACACCTCCATGCGGAGCTGTGAAGCTCATGTGGTGGGGAGGAGCCCCGGGTTCCCTGCAAGGATGTGGTCCAGGTCTAGGGGCAGCTCTCCAAGCCTCCACCCCCCAACCAGAACAAAGCACTTTGCTCTGGCCTGGGCTTTAAAACTGCCCTCTTAGCCCCCCTCCCCCCATGGCCATGACTAGGCAGGGTCTCTCTTCCAGTCCCCTCTGGAGGGACTATCAGGGAAAAGTGACTCTCCCAGGTGGTGGGGGCCCTAAGTGGTCAGAAAGGAGAACTCCAGATCAGCCACCTCCCCCGCCAGCCATATCCTCCCCCCACTTCCCTGGAGTCTTGACTGCCTCCCCTGGCTCCACAGACAGCATGATCCGTGTTGGAACCAATTACCAAGCAGTAATTCCGGAGTGCAAGCCTGGTGAGTGGCAGGGCAGACTTGGAGGGAGGGGTGGAGGCTGATGGCTTGGCCTGCAGCCCCACCTGGGAACTCTTGGCTGGCTTCTGCTTGAGGGACAGGCGGTGGGCGGGGTGGGTGGCCCCGTGGCACTGTTACTTTTCCTGCTCTGCCTTCCTGTCTGGGTCTCTGCTCCTCCTTCCCTCCTGGGCCTCACCTCTCAGACTGACTGTATTGCTTAGTGGTCTTCTGTCCCTGAGTGCTACAAAGCTAATTCTACTCTTCTGCCTTTCAGAGAGCCCAGCGCGCTATAGCAACAAGGAGTTGAAGGGGATGCTGGTGTGGTCACCCAACCACTGTGTATCAGATGCCAAACGTGAGTGGGGTGGGCCCCGGTCAGGCTCAATCTTGGGAGCAGAGCTCCAGCTCCTGCCCTCCCCAGGCCAGCTCTTCCTTAGAAGTGGGCTGCTAGTCCCACCTACATGGAAGTCTGTGGTAGGCGCATTGCCATAGCATAGGAGCTTGAGACTAGCTGGGCAATATGAAGAATGGGGCTGTAGTCTGACAGTGGTCCTTGCTTTGGGGGCTTACCCTCTGTGACCCCACTCCTTCCCCCTGCAGTGGACAAGTACATTGCCATGGCCAAGGAGAAGCATGGCTACAACATTGAGCAGGTGGGCTGGAGGTCCTGAGGGATGGGAGTGGGACAGGGTAGAGCAGTACTTGGGGGGGCAGAACCTGAGCTGCTTCTGTCCTGGCCCAGGCACTCGGCATGCTTCTGTGGCATAAACATGATGTGGAAAAATCTCTGGCTGATCTAGCCAACTTCACCCCCTTCCCTGATGAGTGGACAGTGGAGGACAAGGTGCTGTTTGAACAGGCCTTTGGTTTCCATGGCAAGTGCTTCCAGCGGATCCAGCAGATGGTAGGACTGTGTCCATGGCCCATTGAGAGCTCCTCAGCCCTTCAGTCCCAGACAGAGTACTTGGGGCTGGAGTCTCAGGTGGACTCCTGTTTCTGGCCTTGCCTCCCCAGCTACCTGACAAGCTGATTCCCAGCCTGGTGAAGTATTACTACTCTTGGAAGAAGACCCGGAGTCGAACTAGTGTGATGGACAGGCAGGCCAGGCGGCTGGTTTTGGTTGGGCCTTCCCTCATTTTCTCCCTGGATCTGTGTCAGCAGTGATGAGCTTGAAGAGGGACGAGGAGCTGTGAGTGAGGGAGAGCCAGACACTGGAGACCCCAAGCGAGAGGTGAGGTCCCAGCTGCTCTGTCTTGCCCACCCCTCAATTGGCCTCAGATGTACACAGTGCTCTTTATGTCCCTTCAGCCTCTGCCAGCTCGACCTCTGAATGCACGGCCTGGTCCTGGGAAGAAGGAGATTCAGGTGTCTCAGTACCGCCATCACCCACTACGAACTCGGAGACGTCCGCCCAAGGGCATGTACCTGAGTCCTGAAGGCCTCACTGCAGTATCAGGAAGCCCAGACCTTGCTAACCTCACACTCCGAGGTCTTGACTCACAGCTCATCTCTCTTAAGCGCCAGGTGGGGGCCCAAGGAAAGGGGACCGTGCAGAGGGGATCGTCAGGTCCCGAGACCTGTGAGGTGTAAGGGAAATGGTGCAGTGCCAAGCTTAGCTCTGTCCTACTGCCAAGGATTCAGGATAACTTGACATTCTTTTCTGTTTTGTGTGTGTTCAGGCGTGCACATGTATGTATGTTAGGTGCATGAGTACGTGTGCCTTGGTGTTTATGTGGCTCTCTATTTCTACCTTTACATGAGTTCTGGGGAACAAACTCAAGCTGTGGGGCTTTGTGGCAAGTACTTTTACCTGCCTGTCTGGCCAGCTACCTGGCCTTTTTTCTGGGGGAATGGGGAACAGGGTCTCATCTGTTCCAGGCTAGTCTCAAACTTGCTCTGTAATAGAGGGTAACCTTGGATTTCTGACTCCTGCCTCCACCTCCTGCCCCCAGTGCTAGGATTACAGGCATGTACTATCATGCCTGTTACTGAAGTGCTGGGGAGCATGCATACTGGGCAAGCACTATCAACTGAGCTCCTCTTTAGCTCGGCTGCTGTCATGGACTACATAGTGAATTTGAGGCGATCTGGGGACCTTAACTCGTTTGTTTTGTCATTATTTTGTATGTGGGGCAAGGGCTCACACATGCCATAGTGCGGAGGTCAGACAACTTGTGGAGTTGGTTCTTTCTACTAGGTAGGTCCTGGGAATCAAACTCAGGTCAGGATTGGTGGCAATCGTGGTATGCAAGAAGTATGTGTGTGTCTGTGATACATGTATAGACATGGGTGCCATGTGCTCACAGTGCTTGTCTCCTTCCCTTACATGAGTTCTGGGGATCAAACTCAGGTCGTCAGGCTTTGTGGCAAGCACTTTTACCTGTCTGTTTTACCCTGTTGCCTCCTTGCAAGCCCCAAGACATGGTCTCAAAGAAAGCTGTGGCAAGCACCAGTAATCTCAGCACGTGGGAGGCAGAGGCAGGAGAATTAGGAGTTCAAGGCTAGTCTCAGCTCTATAGCAAGTTTGAGGACATCGTGGGCTGTGGTTCCCTCAAATAAAAAAAAAAGTAAAAAGGACAAAAAACCCAAAGAAACAATAATGTCCCACCAACATGGGCAAACCATCATGAGGGAGGAAGGACTGGGGGCTGGGGGGTGGAGGTGGGGGTGGTCGTCGTCTCTGGGGATGCAGAGGTTCATGCTCTCTCCTTGGCCTTTATAGGTTCAGAGCATGAAGCAGACCAATAGCAGCCTCCGCCAAGCACTAGAGGGTGGCATTGACCCTCTCCGTCCCCCTGAGGTAAGGCTGTTATGTTTATTTGTGTGCAAAAGGGGGTTTTCCTTAGAGTCAGGACAGAAATGAGCAGGTCTGCCTAGGAAGACTTTTTTTTTTTTTTTTAGACAGGGTTTCTCTGTGGCTTTGGAGGCTGTCCTGGAACTAGCTCTTGTAGACCAGGCTGGTCTCGAACTCACAGAGATCCGCCTGCCTCTGCCTCCCGAGTGCTGGGATTAAAGGCCTGCGCCACCAATGCCCGCCTAGGAAGACGTTTTTACAAAACACTTTTCCACATTTATTAACTTAAGTGGGGTGGCAGGTGACATATGCCGTATGTGGAGGCTGGAGGATAATTTGTAGGGTAATTTGGTTGTCTCTTTCCATGTTGTGGATCCTGGGGATCAAACTCAGGTCATCAAGCTTGATGGCAGAAGCCTTTACCTGCTGAGACAGCTAACCAGCCCCACATATATTTTAATTTATTTTTGGTCTTTGAGACAGGGTTTCTCTGTGTAGCCGTGGCTGTCTGGAACTCACTCTGGAGACCAGGCCGGCCTTGAACTCAGAGATCTGCCTGCCTCTGCCTCCTGAGAGCTGAGATTAAAGGTGTGTGCCACCACTGACTGGCATATTTTTAAAGATTATTTCTTTTCATGTGTATGAATGTTTGTCTATGACTTTGTTAGTGCAACACATGTATACATGTTGTCTATGGAGGCCACAAGAGGGCACCAGATACCCTGGAGCTGGAGTTTCAGATGGCTGTGAGCATCCATGTAGGTGCTGGGAACTGAGCACAGGTTCTCTGCTCAAGCAGCCAGTGTTCTTAACCACCGAACCATCTCTGTCCCCTCCCTCCCTTTACATAGTTTTAGTATAACAGTTATTTATATTTCTTGCTTTTCAGGCCAATACTAAGTTCAACTCCCGCTGGACCACAGATGAGCAACTTCTGGCTGTACAAGGTGGGTCAGAATGGAGAACCTTAGAGACTTCTTACCTCTCCAGGAGTTGAAGTGGAGGGGAAGTAAATAGTTCTGGCGGGCATTTACAGTCTGCTGCCCTTTTTGACCCTTACAGCTATTCGTAGATATGGCAAAGACTTTGGGGCTATTGCAGAGGTGATTGGGAACAAGACTCTGACCCAAGTGAAGACCTTCTTTGTGAGCTACCGTCGCCGCTTCAATCTGGAGGAGGTGCTGCAGGAATGGGAAGCTGAGCAGGATGGGGCCCCTGCAGCTCCAGTCCCCATGGAAGAGGCCAGGCGAGGGGCCCCCGTGCCAGCCCCAACCTTAGAAGAAGATGATGAGGTAAGGGGGGGGTATTTTCAGAGGAGAGGCGAGTCTCTAGGGCTGCCAAGCATGTGGAGCAGCCTCCTCACCCTTTTCTCTTCCCTCAGGTGCAGATTACATCTGTCTCAACATCAGTACCTC